AAACACCGTCTCTGGGAAACCTGCCCAGAAAGACAGCTCGGCCAGGGCCAGCTCGTGGCACATGGCTGCACCCCCGTGCACCGGCAGCACCATCCAGTCGGTTGAGCCTGTCTTCTCCTTCACATCCATCTGGCTTCCTCCTGGGCTGCCCTTTCCTCACACATTCATGGCACACATGCATGACCGACGGTTTCGTCAGTGCTGCCTCCCTTTGCCTCAGGCACTTCCATCAGAGAGGCCAGGGGATCATGTGCTGGATTTTCTCAGTGTGCCCTGGTGTGACACTGCCACCTGCCCCTGCTCTCCCCATCACGTCTGCGGGTACCCGCAGGGAATGCCTTCTTCATCAAATCGTTTGGTGGGATGCCGGTGAGCCGTGGTAGAGAAGCAAGGGATGGCCGGAGCTGAAGCTCTCAGCCCTCGAGCAGCATTTCCCATGCACTCACCCGCCCTTCTCCTCTCACACAGGTCCACTTGCTGAAGGACCAGCTGGCTGCAGAGGCGGCGGCGCGGCTGGAGGCCCAGGCTCGTGTACACCAGCTCCTGCTCCAGAACAAGGACTTGCTGCAGCACATCTCGCTCCTGGTCAAACAGGTGCAGGAGCTGGAGCTGAAGCTGGCGGGGAACAACACCAGTAAGCGCTTCTGCCCCTTCCTCTCCCCTCGCAGCTAGCTGGGTCTGTGGAGGACATGTGGGGTGTTTCTCTTGGAGGTTTTGTGCATTTCCAGGGGTTTCATGTAGGGGAATATTAGTGCCCTTCTGGCCTGGCTTGTGTGTGCAGCAGGGTGCTTGCATGCAGCGTGGGAAGGGGCATGGAGAGGGCTGTATGGACAGGCAGTCACCTACATCCATCAGCTGTATGTCCGCTTTCCCCAGTGGATGCATGGTCTAGGCCAACTCCTTACCTGCCCAGGGACCCCCTCCCTGCCCTTCCTCTCCAGCAGACGTGGCTGTCAGCTCCCTGCAGGAGCTGGGCTGGGAGACAGATAACTTTTTATCCTGCAAAACTGGCACTTTCCTGACCAGCAGCAGCTCCTGGCATCAGTAGTACCAAGTGACCCCTCCTCTAAATGGTGGTGGTGGGGAGGTTGAACACCCAAATGGCCCCAGACCATCCTCTTCTGGCCAGTCTGCAGCCAGCTGTGGTGGCCAGGGATCGCCCGGGTGGCACTGCTTGCCTCTCAGCCGTGCCCTTCTCTTGCAGCGGGCTCCCAGGACAGTCTGCTGGAGATCACCTTCCGCTCCAACGTCCTCCCCGTCCTCTGCGACCCGACCACCCCTCAGCCTGAGGACACCCACCCACCGCCGCTGGGCCCTGGCTCGGGCTTCCCCAGTGCCCTGGGCAGCCCCATAGGTAGGAACGACTGTCTGGTGAAGCTGGAGTGCTACCGCTTTCTGCCGGACTCGGGGCCGCCTGCCCCGGAACCGGCGCTGGGCAGTCTGGAGCTCATCAAATTCCGTGAGTCAGGCATCGCCTCCGAGTACGAGTCCAATACGGATGAGAGCGAGGAGCGCGACTCCTGGTCCCAGGAGGAACCACCGCGCCTGCTCCACGTCCAGCCCAGGCAGGACCTGGGCGACAGCCTGGAGGACGAGATCGCAGTGTAGGGGTCGGCAGGAGGTGGTCGGCGCTGGGCAGTCTGGAGCTCATCAAATTCCGTGAGTCAGGCATCGCCTCCGAGTACGAGTCCAATACGGATGAGAGCGAGGAGCGCGACTCCTGGTCCCAGGAGGAACCACCGCGCCTGCTCCACGTCCAGCCCAGGCAGGACCTGGGCGACAGCCTGGAGGACGAGATCGCAGTGTAGGGGTCGGCAGGAGGTGGTGGGGGGCAGTGGGGACCCGCCGGAGCTGGGGCAGACCCTGGCTGTAGCCCCCTGGCCCTGGCAGGGACGGGACAGCCCGGAGGGAGAGGGGGTGGAGGAGGGAGCAGGAGGCTTCCAGCACACGGCCGGGAGGTGTGTGGAGGTGACGATGGAGCCGTACCGAGGGGGTGCGCCAGGCGTGCTGTACTCCAGCATGCACGGGCTTGTGTGCTGAGCTGGAGCATCCCTGCTTCACATCGGATGGTGAGCTGACAGCTGCTTGTGCTACCCGCTGGTCCCTGTCCCCCTGCAAGCTGTGTTTCGAGGTCAGGCGGAAGCAAAGGACCCCTCTGGACGCTACCGGATTAGCCAGTGCTGCTGGTGCTGCTGCAGGGAGGGGAGCAGTGAAGCAAATGAAGGTTTTTGCTGGGGGAATGAGAGCGCAGGTACGGGGCAGTGAGCGGGGACAAGAGGGACGGAGGAGGCAGCACTGGGGCAGTGAGCAGGGACAGAGCCGCTGGCAGAGGGTCGGGCTCTCTGCGTGGTGGAGAGGGTGGGAGATGAGGCCAGGGCCATGCTAGCAGGGTGGTTAGGGTTGGTGACAGTGCGCTGTTGGTGTGGGTGTGCGAGTGAGAGGTGAGAGGGGACAGTGGGGACGAGCCTGGGAAGGTGAGAGGTGAGATGAGGTCGTGCAGGGTGGCCAGACGCAGCGAGCTCCTGGTGTTTGTGGCACTTCCAGGACAGAGTTTGTCCCTGCCTGAATCAGGTGGAGGGTGTGCGGGCACTGCCCGCTCCTCTCCTGGGCTGTAGTGTGGAGAGGAAGGCACGAGTCGGCGTGGAACAGGGAGCCGGGGCACGCAGCACTGGGATGTGGAGTGTCTTTCCCCTTGTTGTCCAGTCGGGCTCCTTGGCATGGCTGCCAGGTTTCAAAGCCTTTCTGGTGCTCTCAAGTCATGTTTTCAAGCACTTCCCTGCACCCCTCATCACCACAAACTCCCTGCTTTGCTTTATAGACAAATCCTACTATTTCCAAGCAGCCTTTTGCCCCCGAACCTGGGCTGGGGAACACAGTGCTGGCATTGGCCATGTGCAGGGATGGGCGCGCTTACTGCCCCTCAATGAGGAGCGAACTGCTGGTGTCTGCAGGTGGAGTCCTTCATGTCTCTGGTTTGCACCCTCCAGAAAAGTGTATGCGAGATCTCAGGAGGCTCTACCAGACCCTGAGATGCCCATGGCTGAGCCATCTGCGGGGGCCTCCAAGGGATCTCTTTCCTGCAAGCACATTTATCAGCTGCCTGGTGCTGCAGCCTCTAAGAGGCCACAGCGGAAGGGGTATGAGCCAGAGTACTGATGTCCCCCCTGCTCCCATGGAAACACTCAATGAGATGGGGATTGGCACAGTTGTCTTCTTCCCCATCCGCCCTCCTATCCTGCTTCTGCATCACTTTGTTGCTTCCCTGCTGCTCTCGCCTTCACCAGCTCTGTCTCTGCTAGATCTGCCTGCACCTAACCCCTAGATGAGCATCTCCTGGGCACGAGCTGTTGCTGCTGCTGAGGAAGGTCCGTTGCTTCTTTCTGTCCTGGTCCCCTTGGGACTGAGGGCTGCTGAGGAGAGAGGTGTGGGTGAGACCCCCAGCATCGGTGTGAGCTGTGCTCCTCCACCACAGGAGGAAGCTGGATGCTGTGAGGAGGTAGAGGGTCCTAGCGGGAAGGAAGGCGACGTTTCGGTGTCTTCAGCCATGGCCTGGTGTCCCGGGGAGCCCCTGCACTGGGCAGTGGGAGCAGGTGCTGGTTGGGACCAGGGTGCTCTGGTCCTCTGGCCACCAATACCTCCATATGCCCTGTCTGGTACCGGTGTGGGTGCAAGTGCATGCCAGCCCCTCTGCTGGGGACGCTGCCACCCCGCTGCCAGCTCACAGCAGTTGGAGGTGATGGCACGGAGTAGGGGGCTGGTCCTGCCAGGAGGGAGAGGTGAGGATGGCAGCACGCATGGGATATGGCGCAGGCAGGGTAAGGATGTGTGCACGACCTCGGAGAGGGATTTCCATGCAGGCAGACAGATCGTGCAGGAGAGGGGACGGCAGGAGCTCAGCCATACACGCAGGGCAGATGAAAAGAGAGCCCGGGAGGAGCAGCATTAGGCAGGAGGTCTCTTCCAGGCTGGGCTGCCTCAGAAAGCAGGCAGGGCTGAGCCATCTCCCCGTGTCACCACTTCTGCCCGTCCCTGCTGCACACCCGCAGCCCAGGCAGTGCCCTGGGAGGAGCTGTTGGGACTGGCTGTGGGCTCGGGCTCCTGCCCGGCACTCTGCCCGCAGGGGATGGTGGTGGGTGCCCCGTAGGCTGAGGGGGTGCTACTGGAGACGGGTGGGACCCTCCCAGCATCCCACCGCACCGCAGGTGTATATGTGCAAATGATCGTCCTCCTAGCTCAGCGCTGCTTCCGAGATGCCTCTCTAGCCTCTCACTTTTGTTATGGACCTTGATGGGGGATTTATAGCGATATTTTTTGTCCTTTCTTTTCCTACAACTGTCGTGTAACTAACTGTTGACTCAATCTATCTGGGAAACCAATCTGTCAATGTAAGTGCACTTAACCCTTGGGTGTTGTCATTACTCGACTGGCTTTTGCTAAATAAATCTTTCTATTTCTCAAGGCTCTCTGTTGTCTCTTCCTTCTCACTGACTCTCTCTCTTTCTGTACTTCTGTCCCCCTTTATGCTGGGAGCTAGCACCCATGGTGGCATCCCTTGGCCTTCCATAGACCCCCTCCAACCTAAGCATCCTCCGCTGCGGGACCCTTGCTTGCAGTGCCATCCATGGACCACCTGTGAGAGCGAGGTGCCCTGAATGCTGCTGGGGCTAGAGGGGTATCAGCCTTCCCCTTCGCTCCCTGCACAGGGCAGGCTCGTTTCAGGGCTGACCTGACAGCTGAAGGGTGCTGGGGGTGTTCCCCAACATCTGCAGAGCACCCCATGGTGATGCAGGGATGCTGAGCAGCGCTTGAAGTGGCTCAGGAGATTTTTGGTTGCTGGGGAAGCAAAAGTCGGGAAGATCCTCTCTTAAAGGATGGCGGAAGGGTTACGGAGGCAAAAGCAGCAGGCAGACAGGGCTGGCTGCTCTGAAAGCAATTTTATTTTGCTGCTGGCAGGAGCGATGGAGCAGTGCCCTCCCGCGGTGGCTGCCCAGCCGGCGGGGCTACACGGGTGCCCCAGGGGCTGCAGCCTCCTGCTCCTTGTGCTCCTTCTCCCACAGGGCCTTGAGCCTGCGGTAGTACACCTTGCAGCTGTAGCCCTCCTGGGAGCTGTGCTGGATGTGGATCTTGAGCGACCACAGCGTGGGGAAGACGCGGCAGCATGACATGCACTGGTAGCCACACTGAGGCACTGGCTGCCGCTGGGAGGCAGCGAGGATGTCCCGCACTGTGATGCTGGCTCTGCCGCTGGCAGGACTGTCCGTCTTGGGGGGCTGGGGCTTGTCTGAGGAGCCAGAGGAGGAGCAGATGATCTCTGAGAGGTCATCGAGCTCCTCGGGCTCCTGGGTGTTGGCGGCCAGGCTGGAGGAAAGGCTGCCCGGGTGCTGCTGGGTGGCTCCATCGGTACACATGAAGTAGCTGTAGGGTGAGAACCAGGGCCGGTAGATGGTGCAGGTGCAGGCAGGGAACTCGCTGCCCAGCGGGGCTGTGGAGGAAAGGGTCTGCAGTGAATGCCGGGGTCCCTGCAAGAGCCCGGCCCCCCATGGGGTTGGAGGCGGTGCTGGGGACCCTTCCTCTCTGTCTCCATGGGGTGCAGAGGTGGCTGGCACTGCCCCAGTACATCGCCCCGGCATGGAGGGTACCATCCCTCCCTCCATGGGATGCAGGGGTAGAGATGGGTGCGGGATGCTGGCAGGCACCGAGGCACCAGCACAGCACAAAGCTCACCCGGCAGCCCACTGGAGCCGTCCCACAGAGACCTGCAGTGGCA